TGCTGTAGTTGGTGTGGGCGGCGGCCCACATTGTGGTTCCGTGATCGGTGTTGGTAATAGTCGCGTGCCACTTCTAGGAATGGCTGCAGAAATGGTTGCAGTTGTAACTCGGGGCGCTGGAGTATCCTCAGGGGCGGCATATTTAAAGCCGAACGGATGGCAGGTGTTGGCCTGAGGTCATCTGCGTAATACATAGTTATCTGTGTAAAAAAATTTATTGGTTTTTATAAATTTGTTAGATATAAGTTGAAGTGGGCATTGAATTGGTTATTATTTACGTCTTCGGGACTATTATCGGTTTATCGTTTATCACTTGCTTTGTTGTTATTATCTGCGGTTGGTAAAAACCACAGCTTCACGAGCGGTCTGGTCAGCGTTCCGCTTTGGGTACGGAGATCAACCTCGCGTATATGACCGTCGAAGCCGTAATGTAGCTTTTTTCAAGCCGCGATTCGATGTGGGGTAGACAATCTCCAAGCTTTTGGGGCTTGTTCAGGAGTCTTCCAACAGTATCTTTTATGGAGATCCTTTATGTATTCTTCTTTCCATCGGCGGCTGAAATCGTGATGGAGAATTTTAATTCTTTGACATTGATTAAATAAGGATAGCGACTCCACGCTTGGCTCAGGGATGGCCAGAATGTGCTCCTTTGAGGAAGTGCCCTGTAGTAAGGGCTGTGAAATTTGAGGGATCTCGCGAAAGTGTCGTAAGCGGCCGTGAATTGAGAACGGCTTCAACGCGAATTAATAATGTTGTAAATTCTTCATAATTAAATTTGTAGTTTCCAGCTACTTTTTTTAAGTGAGATTTGGAGCTTTTTACAGCTGACTCCTATTACCACCCATATGAGGAGCGCTTGATGCGATAAACTGCCAGTTAATACCTTGGGGAGCGTACTTTTTACAATCTCAAGTGAGACTTGTTGGATATAATCTACAAACTGTTTTTCTACGGCTCTTTGAGCTCCGATAAATGTTTTGCCATTGTCGCCCATGAGTTTTAACAGAAAACCGAGTCGTCCGACAAAGCGGGCAAACGCCGCAAGAAAAGCCTCATATCATGTGTCAGATTAGTATATAGCTCGAGATAAACTGCTTTTGTCGCAAAACCTACAAAGGCACATATCTTTTCATGAGGGTGGGAGGCCCACCATGAGGCATGAACGCCTTTATTTGAAAAGGCCCAGAAAATCAACACCTGTAATTGTAAAAGGCAGAGCGAAGTCGCAGCGCTCCGGTGCAAGTGCTGCCATAATCTGCGTACGCATCTTCTGCTTATGCTTATAAAATTCTTGACGGAGTATTTGTTGCATGAGGCGATGTTCGGCGTGTAGCATTACTACGCGGACATAGTTGAGATATAAGCAAGTTGTGATTTTTCGGAGATAGATATAGGGTGGCGCACGTTGTATGTCAGCTGGAGTTGGCCAGCCGACCATTCGCACGCAGTAGACCTTTCGTGTTCAGAAATGGGTTTAGTGCTAAGAGTGAGCTCTTTTTATCAATCGGATTCGAATGTCGCGACTGAAGTAGTGCGCTTGGGTAGATGCGATAAGAGCGACTTTGCTTTTTGTAAGTCTAGGTACATCATATGTATCGCATTAGGAGTGTACAAAGGTTACTCCCTTAACTTTAATTTCAGTCGCTCTATGAACTTGAGCATGTAAGCGATTACCCTGAGGGCTCGGGAACGATGAAAATCGATCAAAGATGTCAGTATCATCAAATTTTGTATGAAAAGAGTCGATTTTTTGACTTTCTGTGGTGGAAGCAAGGTGCAGGGCTTTGGTTTGTCAGCAGTGACCATGTGTCGCCACGTTGCTGATCCTACTATGTCAATCATTTGAGACGTTCATTTGGAAATATACGTCTTCCATGCGTGTGGTGGTTTTTCTAACCATGCTTATACAATTTGAGAATCGTACAACAGATATAATTTGTATTTGGCCTTTTTTAAATGTATTTGCTCCATGGATATTAGTTTGGCTATTTTTTTGGAGGAGCTACTTTTGCTTTGCTACTAGTAAGTGGCTTGGGCTCGCAGTGTCGCTTTGTGTACGAACATATGATATGCCGTCACAGAAGCCGTGCAGTTCGACTTTGTGCTCAGCAGCATAATTTACCCATCGTGGGACTTTTACCAGTGAAATATCATTTAGATCGCTCGCGAACTGTGACCATTTTTCTAAACGAAGTGGTTTTACTTGTTCGTCCCATCTAGCCGTAATTCTTGTATTATAATAGGCGACAACCATCCTGCGGTGTCAAAAAGTTTTGCCACAGAGGACGGATAATGCAGGTATTGACTCAGTAGTGTATGAAAACTGAATATCACATTCCATTGAATCCCCAGAGTTTTTGTTGTACTTTCCTTTTAGAATTTAAGGAAAGTAGTGTCCAACATATTTTCTTTAGGTATGTCCTTTAAAACATTAGGGTGGTTCGCCGTTATCTTTTTTAATGGAAAACCTGCGGTTTTAAGGGCTTGTGTCTTTTTGGCTAAATCTTCTAATTCCCAAAATTTCTTTATTTGTGAATTGAGGTATTTATTTGAGATTTCCTCAACTTGAGTTTTCATGGTGGTAATTTGTTCCTTAACTAGTCCACGTAGACTTAGATCCATCCGAAAATAGTATTTTGTGCCAGAGGTGGGGTGAAATTTTCTCAATACGCTATATGAGATCGCTGCCTAATAAAAGATCTATTTGAGCGGGGGTGTTGCAGTTGGGGTCTGCCAACTTTAGGTGTGAAGGTGTGTGGTTCAGATTTTTTTTTAGTTTTAAACTACTCTTCCGCCCATCCCTTAATTTCGAAATTGGCTTGTTTTTTTGGCAGTTTTTACTTATTTTGTATCTTGGACGCTATGAAAGATGGTTGTGATCCTTGGTCTACTAAGGCCCTAAGTTTAAACAGTTCTCCTCGGTGTACGATGGAGACAACTGCTGTGAGTAGTACCTTACTCTGGTTTTCGCTGTGTAGCATTTCGGGATTTGAGCCTGCAACTAAACCAGTGGCTCTTTTCATATTTCCGCTGTTTGGGGCTGAGCTGGAAAAACGATTTATATGAAGCATTAAATGATGTCGTTTATGACACCAAACGCAATGAAATTTGCTTTCGCATTCTTTGCTTGTATGCGCATGTGACAGGCAGTTAGTACAAAGTCTTTTTGTTTATACAAAATTGTTTCGATCGATATTAAATTTCTTGAATTTCTCGCAAAATTTCAGCATATGCCGTCCTGTGCATTTGTAGTTCGCATGACGTTTGTTTGTACTGTTCGGATGTGAACGTTTGCTATTTGAAGAAGCTTCTATTTAAGTTGTTGTTGTTACTACCTTGGGGTCTATCGGATCACTATAGCATATACTTGTAGGTGCCATACAAACTAAAAAATCAAGTTCTTCTAAGGAATCTTGCGTAGGGTATTATAGCTTCGGTGTAACCGAATATATAATACCTTGTATCGATAGAACCGTCAAACAATTTGAAATAGTGGATTTTATTTTTATAAATTCTTCACTAGTTTCTTTTTGAATTTTAGGCAAGTTCATTAAGTTTTACTATTACGTGTGTACTGATTTAAATGAAGCAATAAAGTATAATTTAAACCGAATACTCGTTTACGTATATGATTACTATACTTAGTACTTATATACTTGCAAAATAAATTTGATTTTATTTTTATGTGATTGTAATTTTTTTTTATTAAAATCCGCACTTTTAATTAAACAATACTTTTATGTCCTTATGTTTAGGTATTTAAGTATGTATGTACGAGTATTTATGTTCCTATGCAATTGAGAGCTCGTTGAAGAGATCAATGCGCTTTGTATATGAGTATGCACGAATTGTTGGTGCATATGCATATGTTTTATATTCTTATGCAATTGATAGCTAGTAGAAGAAATCAATGCGCGTTTTTTTATGTACGCAATCCTGCTTGTGTTTTGTTTACCAAAGAGCAAGGGGTGTTGCTGGATAATATTAGCAACTCACATTTATTATGTCAGTACTGTACAATTTTTTTTGTTTATTAAAAATAAATAAATAACGAAGGAGTTTTCAAATATAATATACGTAAGTTATTATTAAGTTTAAAATAAAAATATATTTTTAGTTAATTTTTATTTTTATTTAGACATTTTTAAATTCCGAAATATTCATGAACTGGAGAAACACGAACAGCAGAGCTTTTGGAAGGAGCAAGCATGGAATTAAGTGAAAATTTCTTTTTATAATTTATTATTTATTTATATTTTTGTTACACTTTTTTTTTATATTAATGTATATTATGATAACTATTTTAATTTAAAGTTTTGAATTTATTAATGAAATAAAAATGATATTATCTACTGCGCAAGGTATTTTTCACTTGTGATAGATTAACAGCCATAACTGACAAATTGCAGCTATAATAGCGTTTCAGTCATAATTGACAATTTTCAGCTATGATAGATTTATGGTCAGCAATGACTCAGAAAAAAACATGAGAGTTTGCAGATATATAGTACGTACGTACATACGTTTGTTTACATTAGTTTTTCCACAAGGCTCTTAAGAAAATGATAGAAACTTTGTTCTGCGCGCTGACAAAATTTTTTCAGCTGTGACTGTCAGATGACTGTCACTGTTCTTGTAAGAAAGTAATTACTTGAATAATTTTCTTTTTTGGGTTTGTGAAATAATTGTGTTTGAAAACACAAAGGTAAGCCTAAAAGCACTTAATATGCAATCATTTATATAAGTATTTGGATTTATATATTATATTAAACTGGTTTAAATATCAGCGGAATTTCGATTTCGATATTTATATCAGTTTGGTGCCGTTTTGTATGTTGGTAAAAACGGATTTCTTGTTACAACTCCGGTTTTTTGGGTTAGTTTGTTAAACCCTTTCGTATTTCTTATTTTTTTTTTTAGTTACTGCACTTTTCCATTACATAATATACTTAAATCTATGTTTGTATGTAAGTATATATATTAATATTAATTTCGTGTGTCAGAAATCTTTTTTTTTTTACCGCAGCTTAATTAATAACTAGGGTCGCCAGTGTTCGAAATTCGACAAATAGAAAATACAATTTATTAACAATGCTAATAGTAATTGAATTTTATTTCTTATTTGAACAAAATGTGAACAACATTTAAAGAAAGTTGTAGAAACCAATTTACAAAAATTAATTTAAAAAAAAAAAATTTTAAATTATAATTCTTTCTCGTGCATCATAATTTGTACTGTTTCTCGTTTTGGCTTGATTAATTCTTGAATGAACAATCGAACTAAATCGACCATTTTGAATTTGCCATCACATGTGGCCACGTATGCACCTGCGAAACGATGTCCAAATAATTAGTATAAAATATTGATGAATTGCTTGAATGAAATATCGATGAAGTTTTGAACTGATGCTCCATTTTGAAATCTTTTCAACAAAGAAATTATTTTGTCTTCTGCTGCGTACATTTGTTCTTCAGGTGATATCGGAAAGTAATGGCATAGGAATCCAGAATTTCGTAGAGCAACACCTTCTCCTGAAGAACGTTTTTTCCAAATTAACATTTTGACGCAATTTATCACGTTGATCCTTTGATTGATCGCAGTTATTATTCAATAATGAGGTCACAATTCGCATTGTGCACCATATATGTACATATGTATTTGCAACTTATACAGAATAGCGATGAAACGTACTTCTTCTCCTTTCCAACTGTATAAATTTTCTCCATATATATATGTATATTGTCTCCGGCACACAGTCAAAAAGGGAACACAAACACACTTTTTTGTTAGCGTAATTATGTAAGTTAACGTTGTTAACACTCAAAAGCTTGAACTATACGTTTCCCACGATACTGAAGCGCACCAACAACAACAATACGTATAAAACGCTGATGCCATGTCTGCCTGGCCGGATCAACGTAACAATAGCCAGTACACGCGCATCCATTCGGCCAATTCAGCAATAAGTCACCTGTGCCCGCAACGTGATGCAGAAGTTTAATGTTAAGAAGTTAATATTGTAAAATTAGTCTAAGTTTTACTTTGGTTCAATAAAGACGGCTTCGTAACTTAAAATATAATAACTGGCGCCAAAATGCCAGTCGCGATCGCCGTAAAAAAATTTAAATGTAGTGCCAATATCGGTACCGCGACAACGCAACCCACACCAACAACTCCTCAAGTAGCAGCAACAACGGTGACAACAACAGCTCCTCAAGTAGCAGCAACAGTGCAGTTTCCTGTGACAGCAGAACGCACTAACCGCAAAGAGTGCGAAAAAAGAGTGGACCTTAGTAGTGGAAAACAAACAGGATGATCCACTCCGCCGCGGGATGATCTTACTGTAAGCATAGACTAAGATATCATAAAAAAACAATAATAGAAGACATATTCAGTTATAGAAGTAAGCGAAAGAAAATAGGAAAATATCGTGAAAATAAAGTTTATAGAAGTTTCTCGAAAAACGAAATAGTAATAGGGATAAAAAAGTAAAAGTGGGAAAAAAAGAGAAAAGAAAAAGTGAAATATTCAAATTAAAATTAATAAAAACGGAAAATATCAAATTTAACATAAAAAGAAAAACATTTCATAGAAGATATATATATAAAATAAAAAATATATACTTGTAGAAAAGAAAAGCTAAATATACCAATTAAAATTAACGAAAGGGAATAATATTCAATTTTGAAAATAATTATTCATTAGAAACTATATGAAAAAAGAAAAAAAAAAAGATTAATTATTAAAATAATATATAATAATAAGTAACTATTAAAGGCTTGTACAGCCAATAATTAAATAAAAGCAAGGCCGCGATTCAGCACCTTTAAGGGGGACCCTCCGGCTTTATAACACAAAACAACTCTGCGATTCACCACCAAAGAGACCCTCCAGAGATTGATCACTTAAATTAGTTAGAAAAAGTAAAGAAAAAAAAAGAATAACTTAAATTAATTGATTTCATTTAAGTTAGACCATTAAAACAAAAATGCAAAATCAAAACATTATTACAAGTAGACCACCCGTTTTAAATCCAAACGTTCCCCCTCCACGAAACCTAAATGTTTCCCCTCCACAAAACACCAATACGACTCCCAAACTAGAAGCCCTTATCAGTAGAATTGTTAAGGAAATTGTAGTTTGAGAGATTATAGCGAATAACCCAAATAGCATACTGACTAACGCAATTGACCAGACTATTGACCCAAAATACCGTGGACGATTAGACGATCTTGACAAAATACCCGACATTATACGAAGCCTGCGAGAATTCTCTGGCAACCCTGGCGAATTTAACTCGTGGAGAAAAAGTGTAGACCGCATGCTTAAGATCTACGAAGGCATCAGAGGTACCCCAAAGTACTTCGGTATCTTAAGCGTTATTAGAAATAAAATTGTAGGCAACGCCGACGTTGTCCTAGAATCGTATAATACTCCACTTGACTGGAAAGCTATCTCACACTGCCTAACAATCCATTACGCGGTAGTACAGGGACGGAAAACTATCCCAGAGTTTTACCAAGAACTTTACAATCACCTTTCTCTCATTCTCAATAATTTATCGAGTCTTGAAATGGGTCCCGAAGCCCTTCACCTTTTAACACAAACCTATAGGACCAAAGCTTTAGATACAATTATAAAAGGACTCAATGGAGATTTTCCTAAACTCCTAGGAATAAAGGAGCCAATAGACCTACCACAAGCCCTTCATCTCTGTTTAAAATTGGAGAATCAAGGATAGAGAGCACAATACATATATAACAACCAAAACTCAAGCCGTAAAACTTATTAACCTCCCATACCTCCAAGGAAACCGCAGTTTCTAAAACAACCATTTTATCCACAACACAAAATTACTTCAAGAGACAACTTATCGGCCAAAACCAATACGGTAGACCACAATACCAACAGTATCAACAAAATTTTCAACCACCAAGATCTCACGGACCAAAACCACAGCCCAAGTCAATTCCAATGGATATAGACCATTCGCAACAAACAAGAGCAGTCAACTACCCGAACAAATTTCAACGAATCAACTATATTGCACAAGATACTAACGAATATAATAAAGACTACGAAGAAGATACCACCCAATATGAGGAAATGCAACCATGGAAAGAATACAACAACTAATATATGAGAAAAGAGCAGGACAATCCAGGAAATAATTTTAATGGATTCGTAGACGTTCATTTTTTAGACTAACCTCCTCATCGCTACCTTACTTCGAGTGTAGGACGAGCGATGGAAATATATTAAAATTTCTAATAGATACCGGTTCAAATAAGAATTACATTCCAACTTCATTAGTAAAAAACCCCAAACCCAATGAAAAAATGTTTTTCACAAAATCAGTAGGTGGCAATATCGAAATATCACAACACACCGAACTCAACCTTTTCGGACTCAAGGAAGAAAAACACAAATTTTTTATCTTACCCACACTTAAATCCTTTCACGCAATTCTTGGCAACGATAGCCTAAAACAGCTAAACGCAGTTATATACACATCAGACGACAAAGCAGCAAATATCCAAATCAGTTTGACATGAACAACGACAGTAGTAGCAGAAATAAAAACAACAACAGATAGGCCAGTTTATTCAAAATACTACCCCTACCCAATGGCAATTAAGGCCGAAGTTGAAAAACAAATCAAAGAATTGGTAGATCAAGGCATAATCAGACACTCAAGATCACCTTACAACTTACCAATCTGGATATACCAAAGAAACTCGATGCATCAGAGGAGAAAAAATACAGAATGGTAATAGGCTACCGTAAACTAAACAGTGTAACAACACCAGACAAATACCCCATCCCAGAAATAAATGAAGTACTCACCCAACTTGGGAAAAACAAATTCTTCACAGTGTTAGACCTTAAAAGCGGTTTTCACCAGATACCCCTAAATGAAAAGAATATTTAAAAAACAGCATTTTCGATTAACAACGCTAAATACGAATATACCCGTTTACCATTTGGCTTAAAAAACGCACCCGCTATATTTCAAAGGACTAGACGACATACTTAGAGAACACATAGGGACAAAATGTTACGTTTACAATGACGA